ACCATATAAACCTGAACGTAGAGGCCAGGGTCTCACAGGCACCAGCCAAGCACCCCACTTCTGAGTGTATGTCTATTTTAACCAGGTGTTTAGGGTTTTGTTTGCTTGTTAACATTGCTTTTGGGGGAGGGTTTCCAGAGACTGCTTTTCTGTGACTTTGGAGACTATCATGGAATTAACTGAAATAGACCAGGCTGGTCTGGAACTCACAGAGGTCTGCCTTCCTCTGCCTCTCGCGTGCTTGGATTAAACAATTATGCCATCACCATCTGACTTAAACTTTACTTTTTAATTACATTTTACTTAGCTACAGGTTCATGCATACATGTGTTTTGTGGACTGACGCACTTGGATGCAGGTATTCATCAGATATAATCACCTACACCTGGACTACTGGCAGGTGTGACACACCTGATATGGGTATAGGACACTGAACTTGAATCCACTGGAAGAATGACTTGCATAGGCTTTTAAACTTTGAGACATTCTCCTGGCTCTCATGTCCCTATCTGTGTCCATGGCTAGCCTGGATATGTAGTGTGCCCTAGCAGATAACCTTATTTACCTGCCCTGATTTGGAATAGTGCCACTAAAGACATGTGCCTTTTCCATTTGTATTTCTGTCCAGTGTTCTTACAAAGAGGTGGTGTATGGGATGCAGAAAACAATAACAGTGTATAAGCAGAGGACCATCACTCTATGTGTTTAGGAAAGATACCAATGAAGAGGAAAACTGTGATACAGAATTATTTTATTGCTCCCCCAGTCTATGGGTTCTTGTTTTCTAGTGACAAAATTCTCTTACTCTGCACTCTAGGCTCTCCTAGATGTCTGTATTTGGTCCAACCTGGCTAACAACTTTATTGAAAAATTCTGGCATTATTGGCATCAATATGGTCATTTTACTTCTGTCCAGAAAGTATTTGTTGAGGAGTCCTTAATAGATGTATTATGGAATTCAGATAACAGTAACAACATGGAAGAAAGAAACCCTGTTCTATGTGCTCAGTAATCATTCTAATGAAGAATAAAACTGTGTAATACTGAATTATATTATTGATATTTTACAGTACAGAAAATGGAAGATATAATGGCTAGACCTAGGGAGATTTTCTTGAAGTAAATCTACACAGAGACCACACATAAGTACTTAAAATACAATAGAACACAATTCTTTTTGAAGTAAATATTTCATACCAGTAAAGAGACTTATATATTTACTGAACGCCATCATGTGCACTATGGCTACTTCATAGAATTCAAGAGTCCACAGGAATATATGAGCCTACAGACTTGTGTCTTGCATGCTACACATGGTGGATTATGGTGGTAATCTCAGTGAGGAAGAAAAAACTTCAAGGGTTCAAGGCCCAGATGCAGGGCATGTTTTACCTGGTCCTGCCGGAACAGCTGGTCCCCTGATCTCCTGCATCTGCTGGTTTCCTGATCTCGTTAGTGGGAGAGAAGACCTGGAATCTGGGGTGCTTGTGTCCCGCCGATATTGGAAGCTCTGTGCAGATCCCAGGCAATCTCCAGACACTGGAACCCAGGCCCTGATGCAGGTCCTGTTGTACCTGGTCCCCCCAAACCAGCTGGTCTCTGGGTCTCCCTGGATCTGCTGGTTTCCAGGTCTCATTGGTGGGACAGAAGACCTAGAATCCGGGGTTCTTGACTCTTGCCGGGAGTGGAAGCTCTGCACAGTTCCAGACAATCCCCAGGCACTGGAACCCATTTTCAGATGTTTTATATCATACCCTTCTACTCCTATAATTGTCTGTATTTGAGAAATTTCTCCTAGTTTTTGAAGATTATTAAGAATCTGGTAACAATCTCATCTGACCTGTACTTTTTTCAGTCTAATTTTCTGTAGGTCTATCTTATAACCTAAATAATTAATAGAATCTCTTCTTTGTATTTTTTCTGGGACAATCTGTAATCACCATCGAGGTAAAGTTTCATGTATTGCCTCAAACATCTTTTCCACTGTTCCTTCTTTCAAATCAGGCAACAATATATCATCCATATAATGGTAGATTATGGATTGTGGAAATTGTTTATGGGTTATTTCCAAGGGTTTTTGCACAAAATGCTGGCACAAGGTTGGACTATTTAACATTCCTTGTGGCAACATCTTCCATTGAAATATCCATACTGGTTGAGAATTGTTATAGGTATGCACTGTGAAGGCAAATATTTCCCTATCTTTTTCTTGCAAAGTTATAGTAAAGAAGCAATCTTTTAGATCTGTTATTATAATTGGTCATCCTTTAGCAATCAGAGAAGGTAATGGTATCCCAGGCTGTATAGAGCACATAGGCTGAATTACCTTGTTGATGGCTCCGATCAGTAACCATCCTCTATTTCCCAGACTTCTTTTTGATAACGAATATAGGGGAGCTCCATGGACTAGTTGATTCTTCAGTATGTCCAGCATTTAACTGTTCCTGTACTAGTGTTTCTTAAGCCTCTAGCTTCTCAGAGGGCATGGGCCATTGCCCTACACTGACAGGTTCATCTGGTACCAATTTTAAGGGTAGTGCTTTTGGTTCCTCTGTAGGTGTGTCACTAGCATCCTGTATGTTTGGTGTCGGTTTGCTGTAGTGTCTTACAATATTTTTTCTACCACTAACAGCTCATTTATGATTCATATCTGACATAGGGGGAATGTTAACCTGGGTATTCCATTGTTGCAATAACTCATGACCCCAGAGATTTATAGCAATATCTGTGAGTTATGGCCTGTCTTTCCCTTTTTCCTTCTGGACCTACACACTCAACCCATCTCATACTTTGTTTTACTTGAGATAGGGTTCTGATCCCTAACAATTGAATATTTACTGCTTGTAGAGGCCATCTGAAATGCTGATTTTCTTTAGTAATAATAGTGATGCCACCATCAGTATCCACCAAGCCTTCTAGAATAATGTTATTTATCTGCACTTTTAAAATAGGTTACTTCTCATTCCAAGAAATCTACTATGGTGGGCAATTCCTCCTTTTCCTGAAGATTCCGAATTTTGACTATAATTTTTAAATCATCAATACAATTTTCCCATTATCTGTCTTTTATTTACCCTCTTTCATGTGATTATATATATTAGGAGGCTAATTGCGACCATTAGACACAAATACATTTGAAAAATATCATACTCGTCTCCCAATGCATTATCCATCACAGTGGCAATGAGATCTCTAATGTTCTGCATCCTTAAATTGTCTATCATGATATAATATGGTACGTTTACCACCATAGTTTGTGGTGAAAAGTGGAATGTTACCTGCAATTAGCATCCTTAACCAGCAGATGGCAAAAGTGTACCACCAGACACACTTCCTCTGCAAAAGATCAATGTTCTCCAAAAGGAATCTGACAATTTGTAGCAGCAGCTCATACAGAAATTAGCAAACAAGGGAAGATCTAGCAATGTGTGCTGTTCTGTGCTGGTAAGTGAGGCAGCCAGGGAGTGCACTCAGGCCCACATGCTGAGGGGCAGGCGAGAATGGAGGGAATGGGTCCATGGAAACAGCTGAAGGCTGTGGTGGTAAAACCTGTGGCAGCATAGGACTGGTGGGCAGATGCGGGAGTGGTGCTGGGCATGGAGCCAGGGGAGCTGCAAGTCCAGTGGTCCTTCCTGGAGTGCGGTGGGAAAATGCTAGCTTGGTTGCAGGCTGAGGAGAGCAAGCTTGGCTGCTTGAAGGAGAAAGAACACACAGTGCAGATTTTGGGAAAATACTGCTTTGGGGGATGCTGAGACATGGGGGGGGAGGACAGGGGCTCGGACCCGCAGGTGCCCGGTGAGCACTCACCTCTGGGCTGGGCGAACTTAAATCCCATGATACTTGACACCAGCTGAAGAGGAATCAATGCAATGGGGAAACAAGGATATTTATTAACAGGAGAAATCACTTACAAGAGAACCTGGGAAGATGGGAAGTTCTCTGAAATGCGGCCAGCATCCATGAGAGAGATTTACTTTCTCTTCTCCTTTTATTTCTCACCTGTCCCAAGTACCCTGTCTATGCCCCAATGGGAATGGAAAGTATCTTGGGTATGTGAGCTTTCCCCTACACTGTGCCCCATTTACTGGACTTCGTAGATCCAGCTGAGGGTTTCAGGTGTGGTAGGAAAGCACTATCAAGTGAGGTACATCCCAGGAAGCTAGGGACCAAGGAATAGCTATGTGATGGGTGTGTAGTGCGTGGCAGGTACTTGGAAAAGAACACAATGCATATGAAACCTAAACCTTGAAATATGACCCTTAAATAGTACTGTGTTTATGTGAAATACACACCTGATCACTCTGACTCTATATCTACAAGTACTTTATGTGTCCAAGCCCCTCATACTCTTTAGTTTATCCATGGTGCTGGAGAGCAAACCCAGGCACCCAATGCAAGCTGTGCAAGTGTCCAACACAGGCTGAACCCCAGTCTCAAGCTCCATGGTCTCTTGTTTCCATGTGTAGCTGAAGGTGAAACCCAGGGACTCACAAGTAATCCCTCCACTGAGTATACCTCTATTTTTAGCTAATGGGTTAGTTTCTTCTTTACTTTTAATTGACTTTCATTTGGGGACACACAAGTGCATATGTGTGTTGTGTGGTTTGATGCACTTTAATCCAGGTGTTCATGCAGATTCCATAACCTGGTGCTGGACATACAGGCAGATGTGAACCACCTGATATGGGTACAGGAAACTGAACTTGAACCCTCTGAAATAACACCATGCCTGTGCTTTTAAACTTTGAGACATCCCTCTGGATCTGGGTCTCTCTCTTTCCCCAGGCTGGCCTGGAGAGGTAGTGTGCCCTAGCAGTTAACAGTATCTACCTGCCCCAATTAGGAATAGATTTGTTAAAGACATGTAGCTGTTCCCATTTTTATTTCTGTCCAGAGGCCTTAAAATAAGTTGATATATAGAACCCAGACAACAATAATGGAATTTAAACATAAGACCATCTCTCTATGTGTTTAGGAAAGACACCAATGAAGATGAAAACTGTGATACAGAATTATTTTATTGATGCTTCAATATACAGAAAATTGTGAATGCAATGGTTCAGAATAAGGACATTTTAAAAACACAATTAATAAAGAGAACCCAACTGAAGATTTCAAATACAGTTCCCTGATTAAGTAGATCCTTGAAGTAAGGTAGAGACATTCCAGTCCCTGAACATAGCAGGAATTTGAAGGGCTGAGGAAAACCCCAGAAGGGGAGCACATAAATTGGGAAGTCATGTTCCCTATTTACTGCCAGCAAGGACAAAGTCTGGGCCCCAGGTCATAGACACAACGCATTCCACATTCACGGCAGGTATCTGTAGCAAAGACAATCCTTTTGGGCTGCCTCTGGGCCCTCAGTGCATTCATGAGCTCAAGACAAATGTGGAGGAACCTTTCTGTGTCGATGTAACCAAAGTCATCATAGCATTCCAGAGGTGCAGGGTACTGCTCTCCATTCATCTTGCTCCAGTTGGCTGTGTGCAGCAAATGGTCCTTCAGGATGTTCACAGAGAAGTCATTGTCATACAAATTGAATTTGGTGAGGTTGGTGCACCAGCTGAGGGCAGGTGTGAGCAGAGTGAGCTGTGAGTCCTTCATCTTACAACCCTGTAGGTCCAGGGACTGCAGAGAGTGTGCCACAGTCTCTAGTAGAAGTCGGAGAGGCATGGGATCTAAAGCCAATAACACCACACCTCTCATGTCCAGATGTTTGAGCTGACAGAGGCTGTGACAACAGGGGACATAATTCAAGTCCGACTCTGAGAGAATGTAGCTAGTGATGGAGAGAGTCTCCAAAGGGCTCCTCAGGCACCTACAGATAAACAACGTAGTTAGTTTAAGCAAAAGTTTATGGAGAAGAGTGTGTACCTTGGGGCTTAAAAAGAGCAAGATGGGCACATGACTCAAGGTCAGATTGAACATATGAATAATGAAGAATACCGGGTGCTGCCTAGTGGAGTCTTCTACATCAAATCACACCCCAACTGTCTGCATAAGTGGACCCAGTGACAGGCAGGCACCACCCATCCGCTAATTCTTAGTTAAAGAGAAAGGTTTGCTCTGCTAGCTGACCCAGCTCCCCGTCGTTGCTTACCTGAGGACCTGTTTCACGTGGTCTCTCAGAAAGTAGATGCCATTCAAGGAGAGATGCTGCAGACAGTGCAGTTTGGAGAACTGAGACACCAACTTCCTGACACACTTCTCTTCTCTGTCTGCTGTCCTGTTGATGGTCCTGATAGTGTTCTTGTAGGCGCGTGCCAGGGAGAGTTTGCGAAGACTTCTCATTTGGCCAAGGCAGGAAGCAAAAAGTGCCAGTGTGGACACGTCCCAACCCATGCTCAGTTCCAGGTCCTCAATGTGCCGGGGATGGAAAACACTCAAGATGTCCTTGATGGTGCACAGAGGCAGAGCCCAGATCTTCATCCTCACACAGCAGAGCTGAAGGGAGCCTTTTCTCTGCTGGGCCCACTGCAAGAAATATGCTTGCTCTTCATCCAGTCGGAGTCTCAGGCAGAGGTCAGTTATGACCTTCAGACGCCGCCTCACTGCGTATCTGGGAAGAACCTTCACTACTTGCTCCTCATCCCCACTCTCTGAGCAGTCTCCATCCTCTGTTCCAGTCCATATGGTCCAGAAGTCATGGCGCCCCTTCCTGAGATCCAGCTCCTTAATTTTCTCCCTCCTGTGGGTAAAATGGAGTCCAGTGTCAGCAGACATGACAGGACCAGACAGTGAGACAACTTCACTGCACATCCTCAATCTCAGCTCTTCCCCCTGCCAAGGACTATGTCACTTCAGCATCAGTCTCCAATATGGGAACTCCTGTGCTATGGATGCTTCCCCTGGGCTGCATCTGAGACCTGACTGCTTTACTTGCACTAAGTTACTCTCTCTTCCCTCTGTAGACCCGTTATTAGTGGCTGTGGGAATGCCAGGGATGGTCTCACTGCACTGTGACTCCATCTTCCCTAAGCTCAAATCCTCACTCTCACTGTCCTTACTACAAGGGATCAATAGCTGTCAAGACCCTGCATCCCTGCGTGATGATCCCATGAGATGTCTCTGAGCCACTTCCACACCCTTCTCCCTGACCCCACGGTGTCTTCCTTGTGTACCCTGTGCTCCAGTCTACAGTACGAGGTCCTTGCTTACCTGGCATGAAACTTTCTTGCCAGCTGCATGTCTACTGCATCTAACACAGCCTGAAAGGATTCCAAGTCTGGGGTCTTCATCAGTGTCCCCACAGGGAGGCAGGGGAAAGGCCAGGCTGCCACCATTGCCTTCACGATCCTAGTGTGTCTGTCTTTGAAGGCCTCTTTGAACAGTTCTGGGAAGAGCTCCATGGGCAGTTGCTCCAGAGCAGAGATGGCCAATTCCTCATTTCTCAGCAGAGCCTGGCTTGCCTGCTTCCTGAGTGTGCCTGGGGTCTGAATGCTCATCATGATAGGTCTGCAGTCACAAAGGTCCTGGGGATGAATTCAGAGAACATACTTTCAGGACATGGTTTAGAAATCTTCCTCACCCAGCACAGGAACCACTCAAGTCAGAGTTTATTTGCTCTGGCAGTGGTAGAGTCAACAACTTGGTCCTCACTGGTGGTTGGAAGCCAGACTCCCTCACTGGCAGCATGGGAGCCTCTCTATGTAATAATGGACTCATGCATTCCATGTCAAAAGACTCAGGAGCAAACCTTTCTCAAAATAAAACTACAAAAAAAGCTTTGGTTTAGTTTATTCCTACCAAGAAGGATTATGACATGGAGTTCCTGAAAATTTAAGGCCACCCTGGGTCACAGAATCAGAGCATATCAAACAAACAAAAAAACAAAGAGAAGTTTGAAAAAGAGGCAAACCAAAGCCTGAGTCAACACCTAACTCACAAATGCCATTCTAGCCTCTGAGTCTGAAGCAAAGGTACTACCAAGGAAGTGTGCTCTGCACGTCTGTGTGGGCCCTTGTTTCACAGAAACACTAATTTCAATGTAGCACAATATGAGCGAACATGCTAGTGTCCTCAGCACACTGAGACTGGATGATCTTGATTTCCAGACAACCCAGAACTACAGGGACATTTCTACAACAGCTTGAACAACTAGGAAACCCTCGTCTCAAAACAACAACCAGACTGATCCCAACAATCTATCATAGAAAGCCATTTGTAATGAAGGCAGCCTTCATTGAGAAGTAAACCAAGTCTCTTCAGTGTGTTCATCTGAAGGAATAGAAATCAGAATTATCTGTCCCTTCTTGGTCTGTAGGACCCTAAATCAAAGGGCCGGACCCAAGAGAAGACAGTTACTCACCAGTTCTGAGCACTTAGGACAGGTCCCTTTATGCCAACTGAACCCGGCAGTTCCTACAGTTACAGGTCTCTAGTGTCTTGGCTGGCTGTCCTGATTCCTTTATATACCTCTCTGCTCACCCTCCCTACTGCAGCCCTGCCTTCTAACCCAAGCTGCAATTTGATTGGATTACTCAGTGTCCACCATTTTAATTCTAATAAAGATTCTAGCTTCTGTCATTTCATCATTTCATTTTTTTCTTTCCCTTCAGGTAGAATTTGCTTTTAGACAGGGCCTTTATGTAACTTCATTTCTTCCTGAGTGCTGAATTACAGGAGTGAGCCTTAAAACCCACTTTATTTGCACATGTTTTTCCAGCCAGACTTGAACCCAAAGGAAGGTTACTTTGACATCCAGAGTCTGGTTTTAGGCATCCAGACCTGGTAGCCACTAAGTGAGAACCATGTCACCATAGCAGTAATGGAATCTGTCCAAGTCCTGGTGCCCGTGACTCCATCCTTTTCCATGTTGCTCAATATTCCCTCAGCACTGAGGAAGACCCTATCTCAAGAGGAGTCAATTGCCTGGGTAGATTGACTCCTGTATTCATCCTAGCAAAAGGGAGCAGAGGCAGATATATCTCTGTTATTTTAAGACCAGTCTCACCTCTGAAAGTTTTGGGCTGGCTCCTTTGTTAATGAAGGAAGGAAAGAAGGAATGAAGGAAGTGTGGGTGAAAGAGAGAGGAAGATATTTGGGTGGGCACTTGAGGCACATGACTTTGAACCCAGCACTCGGGAGGTGGAGGCAGGCAGCTCTCTGTGAGTTCGAAGCCAGTTGGGTATACAAGGTTACATACAGGTCAGCGAGTCTACACAGAGGAACGTTTCTCAAACAACTAACATTAATTAATTAATTACAATAAAATTAAATGGCTATTGACTTATAACTTACATGTTGAATCCCATAGGTTAAATACCAAAACCAAAATGGAAAGAAACAAAGAAAAAATATGATGAAAAAGACAAGACCCCTAGAGGCTGTGGTTTATTTTATTTTCTTGGTACTGGGGATAGAATCCAGTACCATAGGTTGAAAAGATAGAGCCAAAAGAAAAGAAACAAATGTACACTGTTTGAAACATTAATGTGAGGTTAGCTCAGCTGACAAATCTCTACCATAGGTCTCTTGTGGCATCAGGGCTCATTCTGAGACTTTCATTGATGGAACTTGGTTGTTGTTAACTTCATCTATTCCAAAAGTTGTATTCTGTAGTCTCTTATGATATTAGATCTGACTGCTTCTGTCACTGACAGGATGTCACTAACCCAGAGGTGACCTTTTACTATTGAGATGAAGCAACAAATTAAATCAGTTCCCAAAATTTTATAACACTATATTGGGTTTTGTTTTATGTTTCTTGTTTGTTTTGTGTGTTTGTTTTTTTTTATTTTCGAGACAAGGATTCTCTGTCTTGCTTTGGAGGTTGTCCTTCCACTCACTCTGTAGACCAGGCTAGTCTAGAGCTCAGAGAGATCTATCTACCTCTGCCTCCCAAGTGCTGGGATTAAAGGCGTGTGGCACCAACACTGGGCCAGAAGTACATATGAGGGGGTTATTGGAGGGCTGCGGGGAGGGCATGGGAGGTGGGTAGGGAAAGGGAGAGGGACCTGGAACTGACTTGTGAAGCAACCTTGTTTCTAAACTAAATTTAAACTTAAAAATAAATAATAAAAAAGAACTCACTCTGTAGGCCAGGGTGGCCTCTAATCATAAATCTGCCCACCTCTGTCTCTCAAGTACTGAGATTAAAGTTGTGTGCCATTACAACTGGGTTATAATGGATATTCTTGGCTTCCAACACCTGACCTCATCTGGAATGAGCTAAAACCCAAAGATCTGGGTACACAAAGGGATTTTTATTAATCAAACTTGGAAGAAAAGAAAAGACACACAATTCTATCTCTTTACGTTATCCATAATTTCCAAATGAAAACAATAAGCAGGTCATAATTTCGTATAATATGATATATGTATGTCAAGTACAAAAGAATTTATATATTTAATCGAGTCATAATTAACCTCAACTGATATAATTTTCCTTCATAAAGTTACAAAAATATTTAAATGAATGTCAACTATAAATGAATTATAAATAAAAGAGTAATGTGACCAATCCAGTAGCTATGGAAAGGAAGAGTAGCCATCATGCCACCCAGTGGCAGAATCCAGAAAAAACAAAACAACAGACTCCCCACAGAGCAAAAGGAACAAATACTAGAGTGCAGAGGGTGCCACCTTGAGGCAGAATGGGATTCAGAGTCAGCTGACCTTTTGAGGGGACAAGATAAAACAAATCACCAGTGACCAAATGAAGAAATCAAAGGAGCAACTACAACTCCCTGGGCCAAACTTGTCTGTCACGTATTTGGCCATCATACAATTGGCCAGCCATTCATTCAAGTAAAATCCTAACCGGATCCCTATGAGATGCATGACCAGAATCCATGGGGCCATGGAACTGGCAGCCCAACTTAGTGCAGAAGACAGGAAGAGTTTCTTCGGAGAAATTTTCATCTAACACCAGGAGGAAGGCTTCCAAAAGGACCATATCTCCCACCACAGAGTAAGGGCTGAAGCCGTCACCCTGAAGAGAACCTACCGTTGCCTCTTGATGTTATCCTGAGGGCTCTCTATCTAGCTTGTCCTCCTCAGACAGAATCACAACTTGATTCAATGTACAGGCTCACATCTTAGTCTCATCAGGACTTTGTTTTCATGTTTGGAAACACAGCTGTCATCCCTGACCTCCCTGGAGTCAATGAGAGGAGCAGGGTCCTGGCAGGTTTGTCTGGAGGTTCCTCCCTTGCCGCTACTTCCTGGCCTCAAGGCTGAGTCACTTCGAGCAAGGGTGATCTCTTGGGACCTCCAATGTCATGATGCACTGGGGATAGTTACTAACTACCAGACTAATTAAACCAATGAAAACTTTGAGGTCCTTTTCATTGAGAGGAAGACCAAGGGTGGCTTGAGTCTTTGAAGAGCCTCGTGGTACCCTACTTGAAGGACACAGCATTTGTAAAGGCAAAACCACAAATGTACACCAGAGATATGAGGGTCAATGTAACCTTAAAATGTTCCTTCCTGGCATGGGTAAGTACTTTCATTACCCATAACTTGTCAATTTGTGTTTGTTTGTTTGGATGGTTGGTTGGTTGGTTGGTTTTTCGAGACAGGGTGTCTCTGTATTGTTTTGGAGGCTGTTCTGGAACTCGCACTATAGACCAGGTTGGCCTCAGACACAGAGACCTGACTGCCTCTGCTTCCCGAATGCTGGGATCAAATGTTTTTATTAATGCTTGGGGGTATGGTCAAGACCATGGAAATATCTTATTGTTGCCAAGGCAGGTGAGAATGTTTTGGGAAGTGGTATAGATGACTTAAAACCTTTAAAACAACCACAAAATGGAGTCAGAACAGCACAGCGTTACCTTAGTCATTTCACTCTGACCAGTTTCTGATGCCTGAGTCAAGACCTAAGTCACAAATGCAATTCCACCAATTGAGTCTGAAGCAGAGGAACTCCCAAGGAACCAAGATGTGCGTTCTGCACATCTGCCTGGGCCCTTGTTTCACAGAAACACTAATTTTAATGTAGCACAGTATGAGGGAACATTCTAGTGTCCTCAGCACCCTCAAACTGGATGATCTTGATTTCCAAGCAAGCCAGAACTACAGGGACATTTCTACATCAGCTTGAACAACTAGGAAACCCTTGTCTCAAAACAACAACCAGACTGAGCTCAGCAATCTATCATAGAAGGCCATTTGTGATGAAGGCAACCTTCATTGAGAAGTAAACCCAGTGTCTTGAGTGTGTTCATCTGAAGGAATAGAAATCAGAATTATCTGTCCCTTCTTGGTCTGTAGAACCCTAAATCAAAGGGCCAGACCCAAGAGAAGACAGTTACTCACCAGTTCTGAGCACTTAGGACAGGTCCCTTTATGCCAACTGAACCCGGCAGTTCCTACAGTTACAGGTCTCTGAGTGTCTTGGCTGGCTGTCCTGATTCCTTTATATACCTCTCTGCTCACCCTCCCTACTGCAGCCCCGCCTTCTAATCCTAGCTGCAATTTGATTGGATTATTCAGTGTCCAC